AATATACAAAAGCCAGTGCAGCATCCTGCTTTCCCCTGCTCTCATCCTTCCCCAAAGAATTCACAGATCAGCTCACCCTTCCCAACACTTTCTTCCGAAAATCTCCCTGAGCAAGCAGAGGTCACCTTAAACTCTCACTGTGACAAAAGCCAGGTGCAATATCTCTGTGTGGTATTTAAGAAGCCAAGAGTGGGAGTACAGAGCAAAATAAATGTTTAGAATGTGTAGGTGAAGAAGTACTACGTGAGGGGGAGGAATGGATCTGATCCCACTTGCTCAGGTTGCTGGCACTAGGACAGTTTTGAATCAAAGCATCCTGAAGCAATGAAAAGGACAGTTACACATACAGAGGGTCCTCCCTGACCTACCATGACCCTGGCCTACCATATCAGCAGTTTCATGGTGTATCACTGCTTACATGACTGGCAAAGCCCACCTTTGATGCCTAGACCTGTCTCAGGTTTTGCAACTGGCCAGGGTGAGAGCCAAGCCAGACCTCCTGCTCCCTGGGCAGAACCACCATGGGTGCCTGTGGCTGCGTCACCCTCTCTTCAGGGCCTTCCTTTTGAAATGAAGACAGTTCTCACTGCTCAACCTCTTTCTATGCATGGATCTGCCACCTGCCCCACAGATGCTCAGGGCCTGTCCAAGAGACTGGGGCCCACAGGCACACAGAGCATCTTAGTTGGTATCAGGAGCGTGCTCTTTTGAAGTGAATCTCCTGATTGTGGCCATTTACTGTGCTGCATTTCATATCAAGTGTGGACTCAAAATACGTGAATTGGTTTCTCTTGGATGATGCCAAACAAGAAGATGTGCCCAGAAGCACCCCTGAAGTGCACCGGCGCCCAGTGTGAGTTCAGTCTGGTGACCAGGTTAGAAATAGTCCAGAGTAAAACCCTGAAATGCGCACGCTGTGGATGCCAGCTCCTTAGCACCAACCCTTTGCTGTACAGATCCTATCCTACGGACTTTGCTGCATGCTAATGTAGATGTTAGGTGATGCAGCTCTGGACGGTAACTGAGCTTGGCCCTTTGGTCTGAATTTAGGGGTGCATGAGGAAGTACCTGGGTTTTTAAGGTGCCCCCAGACTTAATGAACTTCTATAGCAAAGACTTTCTGGAACACTCTCTCATCTGTCAAAATCTATGTCTTGTTTTTCCCTTTCAGAATAGATTTGCTGGATCTTGTACCCCTCCTCTCTGCTCTACTGTAGAAGAAAAATATTATTCCCCCACTCACCAGCACTCATCTGTTTAGTTTGTGGTTCAGGGCAATATCTACTGTTACGTGTATGGAATGGCTGAGGTCCCATTTCTGTTAAAGCTCTAGTCACTGCTAACCAGTTAAAGAATAGTGAAGAAAAGTGTGAGAGTTTGCATTCCAGACTAAGTAGCTGTCAGAAACTCCTTCTCTTGTTATAAAAGACTTAAGTTCATTGCCTCAATTTATCTCAGTGCAGAAGTACAGTATAGAGGAAGGTGGTTCTTCAGGTAGCGAGAATTCATATCCTGTGTATAGATCATGATCTTCAGCTTTGAGTATTTGAGAGAAAAAGGTAACTGTATGTATATTTTGGATATTCAAAAGTATGAGATGCTTACAGAAGGCTGTTTCACTAAACAGGCACTTTTTTCCTAAATCATAAGCAATTCCTGATTTGCAAACTGTGTGTGATCAAAAACCATAAACACTTTCAAATTCAAAATCAGAATTGTATCCAATCTTGGTTGGAAATACAAGCCATATAGCATCATTTCTCTTCTCTGTCTGCGTGATCAACATTCCTAGGGTGAAATTCGTCTCAGTTAACATTAGGGATATAAAATGTAGGTGTCTACATCAGAGCTAATCATCATCAACTCTTTTTCTAGTCAGTGCAGAAAAATATGCACTTTCAGGGCACAAGCTGTCTAATTAATTTTAGACACGTGCTTTAGGTTAAGATGAATCATTTCCTCAAAGTGCCTGCTCTTTCCACTGACAATAAAGGAAGTTAAGACAACTAGATGATAGATAAATGTGTACCTTTATCACTCACCCTAAAAGACAAGTTTTGAGAGAATACACTGAAAAATTCAAATGTTTTTTTCAAAAATATTCTGTATTGTTCACATTAAATCCAGGAATTCTACAGTCATTTCTACACGCATTTGCTAGGAGCAAGCACAGAAGTAAATCTGGTTAATCGTTTGCAGTATTTACTCATTTTGACTGTGGCAACTATGGACATGTATCTAACATACCTCAACAGTTGCAGGTTGATCATGTGCTTGTTTTATTTGACTGATGTGTTGCAATGATCATCACAATTTGTGTTACGAAACCAAACCAGGGAACAGATCACTAAGGGTGTTAATTGCCAAAGCTACGTCAGCTTCCAGGAGCTCGAAGGGAGCTGCAGTGATTTGCCCAAGCTGAGGATCTGGTTATCAGATCACATACATCTTAAATCATGTCAGTCCACTTACATTCAAACTGTGATACTGTAGTTATTTAAAAATGTGAGGTTTTAATCTATATCAGTTTCCCTGTAATGGGGAGGCAAACGTATTTTCATTACCATGCAGTGCTGAAGGAGTACAGATGTAAAAGCATTATTGGTGTCAGGGATCACATCCCTATTGAAGCCATTGAACCAGCAGGGGTTTGAACCCTTTGTATTCAGTGCAAAAAAATGGCTTGATAGCACCCTCCTCACATGTGTTGAGTTGGTGATAGGGAAAAGTGTGATTTCTCCCTCTGCTGCCCCCCAATAAAATGGTAGCAATGGTATTTAATCACTGATCTTAATAGGAGTTTGATTGACTCCAAAATAAGCAATTCATTTATATGAAGGGTGACAAGCTGGTCATGGCTTGGGGGTGTGGTGTCTTTTGGGATTTGTTAGCTTATGTTTTGCTTTTTAAATAAGATCATTTTAGCTACAGACTATAAATACGAAATAGAGGTTGGGAAACAAGAAGAACAAAAGGATAACAAACTGCTTATTCACTTTTGTCATGGTTTAACCCCAGCCGGCAACTAAGCCCCACACAGCTGCTCGCTCACTCCCCCCACAGCGGGAGGGGGGAGAGAATCAGAAGGGTAAAAGTGAGAAAACTCGTGGGTTGAGATAAAGACAGTTTAACAGGTAAAGCAAAAGCCGTGCACGCAAGCAAAGCAAAACAAGGAATTCGTTCAGTGCTTGCCAGGCAGGTGTTCAGCCGTCTCCAGGAAAGCAGGGCTCCGTCACTTGTAACAGTGACTTGGGAAGACAAACGCCATCACTCCAAACGTCCCCTCCTTCCTTCTTCTTCCCCCAGCTTTATATGCTGAGCATGACATCATAGGGTGTGGAACATCCCTTTGGTCAGTTGGGGTCAGCTGTCCCGGCTGTGTCCCCTCCCAGCTTCTTGTGCACCCCCAGCCTACTCGCTGGTGGGGTGGGGTGAGGAGCAGAAAAGGCCCTGACTCTCTGTAAGCAGTAATGAAAATACCCCTGTATTATCAACACTGTTTTTAGCACAAATCCAAAACATAGCCCCATGCTAGCTACAACGAAGAAAATTAACTCTATCTCAGCCAAAACCAGCACAACTTTATTACTTTAAAATAATGAAATTAAAACAGTTCTGACAAGATGCTTATGACACATCCCTTCGATTTTCCCTTCCACTCTGCTGTAGAAGCAAATTGACTTATTGGAACAACAGAACCGGGAATCAAGCATTTCCAAGTCTTAATCCAGATTTAGATTCTGGATCCTTGGGTTTCTTTGGCCAAATTATTTAGTCCTTCAGCAGCTCTCATCTCCAAAATGTGATAATAATTATTTTTTGCTGCACTGGGAAAAGGGGCTGCAAGGCTTAGTGAATGTTTGTTCTGTCTTTTGAACATGAGGAGCGCATGAAGGCAAGAAGTTGCCAACTCTTCAGGACAGGGCCTAGAGCTACGATTTCAAAGCCGGAAAGGAGACAAATCTTTAAGTTTCCCATTATGTATTGAATAAACTGCACCGCATGGAAAATTTTTGTCTGTATCTTATTTATTCACTTGGAAGGACATTAAAATGATTTGTGGAGATGAGTACATGAGGAGAAAAAAACTCACATATTTGGGGTGCAAGCAGACTTTTTCTAAATGAGTGGTAAACTATCAAAAATAACAGTTAAAAGGACTCTTTACTGGTATTAAATGCAAGCTGCATGTTGCAGGTATTACTGTTTCTTTAGTAAAAACAGCTTTAATCTGTAATGAAACTATTAACACCATTTTCTACTGACAAAATATTCTCTCCTCATTTTTGATTTTCAGCACAGTAAATAAGAAGTATTCCCTCATAGGAATGGCAATAATATTGATACAAGGCATGGGTTGACATAGTTTTTTTCTAAACCCTGTCATTGATCTTGCCATATCAGCACTGTAGGACCTGCACATCATGGTTGTTCCCTTTTTGCATCACTTGTTATGTTTTGGTTAAACCCTCAAGGGCAGCCTCGCTGTCCGTTCTTGCTCTGTCCTCGCTCATGCCCGTTCCCAAAGTCTTTAGCATATTAGTAAGAGCTGAATAACAGTCGTAGTACTTGACCACCTCAAGGGCAAACAGCTTTGATGCCAAGAGATGAAAACCCAGTTTGATTAATAAATTCCACACTTACTTAAAATGAAAAGGTACATCAGCAGGTAGGGTTTCTAGCTAATGTGTGACCTCCTCCTTCTGAATTTGTATCCCATACTTAATTACTTTATTTGATAAAATACTATACTACAGTAACATTTTCAATCATGTGGAAGACACTCAGATTGCCAGTTCATTACTCACTTTCATTTTAACTTCTTCCCATGTTTAAGCACCTGGAAAGTTATAGCTACCTTATTGGAGAAAGACTCTCAACATTATATTGCTGATGTTATATATCTCAGAATTTATGTCTATCTGGCTATGAAAACACCTTTCTAGAGAAAAAAATATGACATTGTTTTTTCTTTTTTCTTTCTTATTTCTCTCCCACAGATTGTGAGTGTGGGAAAGCATGTTAAAGGATATCATTATATTGTTGCCAACCTGGTAAGATACTTTTCTAGAATTATACCCCTGCTCGGTAAGTGAAACACTCAGTTTTGCTTTGAAGCTAGAGCACTTCACACAACATTTGCCATTTGTCACTAATATGTGGTTGCACATAATACATTCTTTATGGTGTGTAAAAGGACTTGGTTTTGTTGTTACAGCCATCTAGACAAAAAGGGCACAATGTTACCCTCTTAAATTTTATCTAAATCAATGTACCATAAAGAACTGCTAAGTGTGTCTTGTGGCTGAATTAGAATTTACAGAACTACACTATGATTTTTGACTTATCTTTTTAATTTTACTAACATAACAATTCTCGAGGTAACTTTTCTACGTTCTCCAGGGAACATTCATTTTGCTGTAAGATCAACTATTTCCAGTCAAATCACTAGTTCAGTATTTTCACTCTAAGTCTAAACTGCATATTCACACAGATAATGATCAGGAGAGGGCAAAGAAAGAGTAAATGCAATATTTTATTATTAAAATAACCCATTCTTTTAGCTGAAATACCTGCCTGGCCAAGCACAGTGAATGTAGGACAGAGTCTAATGTATGCTTTAAATTGTTTTCTTTTTACTCTCCCTCGAGGAATTTTGGTTGACATGAAATATTTTATTGTGCTTTGCTGTACTTGTACCTTAACATAAGATCACTTCAGATTATTTTTAAAACCTCAGGCATTTTAAATGAGACATATCTATTCTCTTAGGTCTTACAAATTAGATTTTCAGCATTACAAATTTATAGTTCCCCAAGTAACTTTTCCCATGCAAAATAGTTGCTGTAAACAAGGAACCGAATGTTGCAGTGAACTGCTAGTGGGATATACAGTGGAGACAGGCACATCTACTCATCTGCTTCAGCAGGGCACACGTTGCTATCTACTGGCTGTTCAGTAATGTGGATAATATGACTTCCTCTTGCGTCACCTTTTATATTTACTATCAGTATCCTTCAGGACATGAATCAAATCCCTGTCCTTATGTCTCTGCCTGTTTCGCTGGGGTATTGGGTCAGTACCCCACAATTTTTTTTCTTAGATCTTTCTTTTTTAAGTTAAGTGTGATAATACACTTCTATTTGCAATCATAAATGCCGATCAGAATTTAAGAAAATAAAAATAAGATACCTCTGAGCTAGCATTAAACATAGCAGCTAAGAAAGGAGCAGAAAGATTCATGCTTGCTTCTTAGCTTGCTTTAGCAGTTTGCATTATGCGGTTTCTTGAAGTTCAGTTATGTCTCCAAAGGCAAATTTTACTAAAGAATTGGTCTTTATACGTGCTGAACAAATTAGCCCGAGAAACTAGTAAGTCAGGAATTGTATGTATTTTATTTTTTCTTTCAATGTTGGGGGTTGCTTTAAATATATAGCAAACCCGAGAGCTACCACCAGCGTATTTCACAAAAGTGTGATTCTGATGCTATATTTTTCTTGCACGAACAGTGAGATCCTCATGCATTGTCTCTGTCATCTAATGTCTATTATATTATCTCATTATCTCAGACACCTTCAGCCTAAATAATGAATCCTGGAATAAATGTATTTACACAAAAGTGTTGTTCATTTTGCAAACATGCAAAGAAACAGGGATATATCGGTTAAAGCACTAGTACAGTGCTCATTCAAATCTGTCAACTTTGATGGAAATTGGATTAAGGCTTTAATATTCTGCAGGCACTTTTCAGTTGATTCGCCAAAGGCATTTCTTCAAAAACTGTCTGCCATTCCCAGCGATGTGTTGCTTAGCTGTCAAGACCGCCCTAGCAATAATGTGGGAAATTTATTTCTTGGTTTTGTTTCATTCTTTATTACACAAATGGAAATTATGAACAAAGGTTCAACATTATTCTCTGGTTTTAAATCTTGGCTCCTAATGGAAACCTGCTGCTGTACATTCTTTATGCTGCCTTCTGACCTAGAACAGATTGGACCCACAGTGGTGTACGAGGACAAACAAAATCTTAAATTGATTTTCTAGGGTTTCAAAGATATTTCTCTGGAGAGATTTATGCATGGAGGAGCCAATGTGACTGGATTTCAGCTAGTAGATTTCAGTACCCCGATGGTAACTAAGCTGATGCAGCGCTGGAAGAAGTTGGACCAGAGAGAATACCCAGGATCTGAGACCCCACCAAAGGTACTGGCTGATCTGAAGCACTACCAAAGATATCACTCAAGTGTTCTAATTTCTAATTAACGTCATTGAATACATGAATGAAGACCTTAATATTTAGGCAGAGGAGAATGCAGTTTATCTTACTGTTACTGGCAGCTAATTATGCCTATCCTTATTATTGTATGATAGAAATACAAACTGCAACACATTTCACTAATGTACTTTAATGTCCTTTGTCACTTATTCTCCAACTTCATCCCTTTACTGACAGGAATTAAAGGTCAAATGCTTAACTGACAACTTAATTTCAACCAATTTTACAGGAATTAGTCTAGTTATCTAGATTAGAGTGCAGAGCTTTCTTGACAGCTGAATTCTTCTGTATATGACATATAACCACAATTGTAAATTTACTACCCTTAAATTTTCATTTGGTGTTTCCTCAGGAAATTCTATCCACCTCAAAACCTGGTGTAGTAATCATTTTCAGGCACAATCTTACAGTGTAATTACATCCCAGTGTTCCTCTATCCTAATTCCTCACAGATGGATAACAAAATATTTCTCTCACCTATAATTTTCTTGGCAGGCAAATCACAGCATAGCTATAAATATGACTTCATCAAAATAGTTCTGTTATTATATGTAGTAATGCATATCAGACCTAGTTGAGACTCGGCTTCTTTGTGCTGGGCACTGTGCAAAGATAAACAATCAGCCCTCCCTCGGCTGGCAGCGTGGTAGGTTGGCAAAGTCTAGAGAAAGTATCAACATGGATAACACAAAGCATAGCTACATAATTTGGTGAATATTCAATAAATTTATGTTCTGGACGAAAAAAAAAAACCAAGGATGCTGTGGGGTATGGCATGCAGACATCCCCAAGTACTGGTGACAGGAACAATTTAGCGTATAGGACTCCTTGCCACATGAACAGGATTGTGCTGGCTCCTTCTGAGAAGTCAGCATGATTAATCCAAATTGCACATAATTCACCTATGGATAACCAAAATTTGAGATTATAAAGATAAACCATGTCCCAAAGAGCTTATAAAATGGAAGACAAAGGAAAAGAAGGAAACTAGACTTCAATAAGTGAATTTAAATTTTGGAAGTTACATGGCATATCAATAGCAGCCCTGGGCACGTGAACAACTTCTCCTGGTGCAGTATGTCCATCAGAGGACCATACTGAGAAAATGCCCCTTTGTTTATGTGGCGCCAGGCTAACATCTGGTGAAGACTTGCTCCACACATTCCATTTGGCATGTTCTCAACCTAAAGCAGTTACTGTAGTTAGTGTAGAAACACAGACCGTTCAGTGCCCTATGTCATTCAGAGAGTCAACACAGGTTTTCCAGTAGGAAGAACATACCCTTGATCATTCTTAACAATTCCAATAGGCTGGATGTCTGCTCATTAGCCATGCATTTTTTCAGTTATATTTTCTCGGTGAGTTACTGTTTCTTTCTTTTCTTTTGAGTAAATTGGGTGGGTAGGGTTGTTCTCTAACATATAAGACAACTGGAAAAAAAATTAAGACTTGAATATCTCCAGTTTAATTGTTTCTTTTAATAATTCTTCAGAGGCAGATTTCTCTACCCTAAGAAATACAGTTTTAAAGCTGGAGCTACTGAAATGTACTCTTCTCAGTCCTGCATTTGTTCCTTAGACAAAATTGCTTTTGCTTTTGAGGACACTTTTTTCCTAAATGAAGGTGTAGAAACTACTGCATAATGAATCAAACTAGAAATATCTGAGACAGCTGATTTTTGTAAAGACATGCCAACTCTAAAGCGGTGTGTGTGTCCATCTATTTAGTATACATCTGCATTAACATATGATGGAGTACTTGTGATGGCTGAAACTTTCCGTAATCTTAGAAGACAGAAAATTGATATTTCAAGGAGAGGAAATGCTGGTGATTGTCTTGCTAACCCTGCAGCCCCATGGGGTCAAGGAATTGATATGGAGAGGACATTAAAACAGGTAAGGGTAGGCTTTATTCTAGTGATCTTTGTGAATATTGGATACTAGTTGTACACTATAAGATTTGGAAGATATTATACACAACGGTAGTAATGGGAGAGGAGAAATTTATTTTTCAGTTGCCATTTGGAAACAGCTGGGGCTGTTCTTGTTGTTCTGGTTTATAACTTGGAATGAAGGCAGAGGGGAACTGCTACTATTTGAAACTACTATTAGTTCCATTAAGAGAGTTGGGACTTCCTCCACTGAACTGGTGAGCTCATCTGTTGCTTTTGCATATAACCTGGGTGTACAGATATTGTCATTTAAGGAGAAAGGTATAGCTACATAATATAACCTTTCAAATATGTTTCTGTCATCTTGAATAAAAGTAGATTTCTCCCAGGGAAATTACATAGGTAGTATTTTTTTCTCTAAAAAGAAATAACCCAGAGCTATTGTTCTCTGATGTCAGGATTTTGAATTCCTGATGAATATGGATGCCTAGAAAGTTCCAGATCTCTGTCAAGATGATTTAGCCTTTCCTTTGAATGGGACAGTAAGAAAATAAAAATCCTGCTGTAGAATTTAAATCATTGCAAATGAGCAGGCTCCACTCAGGAGAAACTGCTGAGGAGAAGTGACTGCTGACAGAGCTGGCAGCTCTGTGCCTGGAAGCCAAGGTTTCCGTCCTGGAGCAAAATCGGCAGAGATAGAAACGGACAGAGGGAGGGAGGAAGTGGTTTAAATCCACATCCTGACTCTTAGGGATAGAAACAAAGCATTTTGTATGCTTCACATACTCCGTGCAGATGCACAGATCTGTAACAATTGTGAGAAGCATGAAGTCAGGCTTCTGTGAAGTCAGGCTTCATGCGGACAGCATGAGCCTTCGAATCTGGCCAAAGAGGTTTGCATGGCCGGATCCTGATACAATCAAAGCCAGCAGCAATATGGCAATGGCTTCTTTGGGATGAGGACCACAGTCTGGATATCCTTTGGTGAGGCAGTAAAGCACTGAAAGAAAAAAAAGGAGTTCTGGTTTCAGCTGAGACACAGGTGGTGGAAAACTGCCACAGCCAATCTTATGGGTTTACATCTGTCCTTCTCTACTCTGAGGCTTCGAAAACAGTCTTTTCAGGCCCTATGCATGTCACCCATCTTCTGTGATAGTAAATTGCTTTGCTGGGGCCAAGGTTGTTGTCAAGTTTACCTTGATGAGCAGTATATACTCAATTTATACATTTAATCCACCAGTGAGAGCTAAAAAGATATATGAGCTCCGGCCAAACATCCTTTAAGTTCATTTTATGTGATCCAAAATATTCTGCAGCAGTGATGAGAACGGTGAAAAATGTACTTCTCTTTAGGACCTGCAGCTGGAAAGTGTTGAGCTGCACAGCACGAAAGAAGAGAAGGTCCATTGTGTGTCTTTGTTAGCACTTAGATACTGGCATATCTAAGCCTATTTTGAGCATGGTTTGACATGAAAAAGGAATACAAAGGAAAAGTAGCCAACTTTTTTGCTTTATAATGCCTGTCTATTCTAGAGTAGTGTTGTTATGGTAATCTAAGGACATAGCCAGGATAACTTTCACTGCTGTGTGACATTTGGAATAAAGAATATAAGGCTGGATCTTCATGATGCTTTTTCTTCCATTTGTAGGTTCGAATACAAGGATTGACAGGAAACGTTCAGTTCGACCACTATGGTCGCAGAGTTAACTACACCATGGATGTCTTTGAGCTGAAGAACACGGGCCCTCGGAAGGTGCGTGCTGACAATGTTTACTATCCTGGTATCATATAAATTAGTTACGTATAATGAAATGATTATGCAAACTTATATTAAACTGGACTCTGTGGTTTAAAAAAAGATAATATATTGAATACATGGATAATATTTCTGGTGGAAGCAGATTTAAACTGCATTTTCTACTAGATACTATTATTCAGTGCAACAAATTGGGAAACACAAAAACAAGTATGCATCTTGGAGAGGTGGGATGTCAGTCAGTCAAGCATACTAATGAAAACCAGCTGGATGGCATGTTGCTAGGCTGCTGGGTGATGGAAAATGGTCAGAACTCTGAACAGTAGATATTTCTTGTATCTTATCCAAAGATTTCTATCTTGCAAATTACTGGCATTTTTAGGTGGGGTCGTTTGTACGTTCTGTGTAAACATGAATCATAGGCTGTAACTAACACTGGGCTTTTAAGGGGGAAAGGAGAGGAGAGAAGAGGAAGAGGGAATGCCCTGAATACTTACATTTTCTGAAATTAATTGCAGTATCTCATCCTGTGTGCTTGATTGGTTGCTTGTAAGCAACTTAAGCAAATGCACATTAATATATGTCTAAGCGGATTCTCCATGCCTGAATGCATATAGTTTATCACTCAGCCCAATCACTTTGAAAAGATAAGCCTGGGTACCTTGTTAATCCTTTCTCTTCCGTGCTGAAATTTGTCCCTTTTTCATAGTATCAAACAAATAAAGAGCAGAAAATGCGCTCAGGTTCAAGGATTTTAGTTCCTTTGGAGGCACTGTGGCCTGTTTTGTTTGCAAGGTCATCATAAAAAGAAAAAGTGAGAAGCTGATGGTGACTAGGAGAATCATCACTGCTTGAGTAGGGCCAAGGCAATCAGAATTGAATTAATCACTCCTCTGCTGTCGGGCCAGAGGTGACAAACCCAGTAAATAATACCCCAGGTGAACTGTGTGTCCCCAAAGACAGTTACATGCCACAGTGATGAGGAGGCAGAGTCTTAAGCTACAGACCCAGAGCAGAATTACACATTGGGATGAACAAACTGACAGTATATGGCTGTATAGAGCTGTAGACCAACACAAAGCATGTGCCTGTGTATGAGGAGTATTGGTGCAGTTGCCTTTTGAAAGTATGACAGATGGCTGAAGAATAAATTGGGAAAGGTGGGTCTGTCTTCCTTCTCTCTTGGGAAGCCCAGTGTCTCCTGCCAGGCAACGTGTCTGACCTTGCTGCCACGCGGGCTCCCTTCCTGGCTGCACTGTCGGCAGCCAGCAGGATGTATGGGTGGCTGGGGTGCATCCAAGGCAAGTGGTGAAATATGACCTTTCCGTCCCCAATTCCCAATCGTACAGGAGGGAAGGCAAGATGGAAAAGATGTGGTTAATTAGGTCACAACTTCAGTAACTCATTAGGGAGATTGCTTGCCAGCAAACTGTTGAAAGTGGCCTATTGTTCCTGTTTCAACATTTGTCACCTGTTTCGGGAGAGATGTCTGGCTGGCACCACTGCAGGGATGTCCCCACCCTCTCTTCTTGCCTGAAATTTGAGGGGGAGGGTGGCTGCAAAAAGAGGAGCTATGTCTGTGCTGTGCTAGAGTCCCAAGGTGCTTTTCTTACCTTTTCAGGCATGCCTCTCTGCCACTCCTAAGCCATTACCTGTCTTTGATATAACAAGCCATAGCAGCTTTGACAGATCTGGGTACTCACAAGAATTTATTTCTCATGTATTACATAGTATTTTATATGTGATTATTAGACCAATTCTATGCTCCAGCCTGACAAATCCTATATAATATGCGAGAAATGGCTATACTTAATTGAACTAAGAGGCCTTCACTTTTAATGTCTTCTTCTCATGTCTTACATAACATGACTTATGAGTCACCCGGCAATATCTTTTCAGGACTAGCCTTTCCAGTCAGAGCAACGCATGCCTCTGATCTTTAAAAAAGTGATTTTTGTTGCCCACAACTTTAAGGATGTGAACAGAGCATTATAAAATGGCACAGCTAGTCAGAGGCAGACTTCCATATAGTTTAATAAAATGGGAAACAATAGCCAATGCTCATATTAGTTTCATTTATGCAGCATTTCTTACTTGGTTCTTGTCTGCAGAACAATAACAAACCTGCCAGTGAGGGGAAAGGGTGTGAGGAGAAAGATCATGGAGATGTAGTGGGATGGCTCCTGTGACTGGAGTGTTGCAGCGGAGGGATACAAGCTCTTTAGGAAGGACAGGCAGGGAAGATGCGGGGGGGGAGTTGCCATTTACATGTGAGAGCGGCTGGAGTGCATGGAGCTCTGCCTGGGGATGGATGAGGAGCCAGCTGAGAGTTTATGGGTTAGGATTAAAGAGAGGACAGGTCAAGGTGACAATATAATGCGTGTCTGCTCTAGGCCACCTGACCAGGAAGAACAACTGGATGAGGCCCTCTACAGACAGATAGAAGCAGCCTCATATTCACAGGCCCTGGTCGTCATGGGGGACTTCAAGCACCCCAGTATCTGCTGGTGGGACAACACAGCAGGACATAAGCCATCCAGGAGGTTCCTGGAGTCCATCAATGACAACTTACTCCTCCAAGGCATAGAGGAGCCAATGAGGAAAGGTGCTGTGCTAGACCTTATACTCACCAACAAGGAGGGGTTTGTTGGGGATGTGAAGGTCAAAGGCAGCCTTGGCTGCAGTGAGCATGAAATGGTGGTGTTCAGGAGCCTAAGGGCAGGGAGAAGGGTGAAAAGCAAGCTCACACCCTGGACTTGAGGAGCAGACTTTGGCCTCCTCCAAGATCTGCTTGGAAGATAAGGGATAAGGCCCTGGAGGGAAAAGAAGCGTAAGAGAGCTGGTTAATAATCAAGGATCACCTCCTCCAAGTTCAAGAGAGTTCCATCCCAATGAATAAGAAGTCAGGCAAAAATGCCAGGAGGCCTGCATGGATGAACAAATTGCTCCTAGCCCAATTCAAACACAAAAATGAAGCAGGAGGGTGGAAGCAAGGATGGGTAACCTGGGCAGAATACAGAAACATTGTCCAAGCATCCAGGGATGAAGTTAGGAAAGCTAAAGCCCAAATGGAATTGAATCTGATCAGGGACATCAAAGACAACAAGAAGGGCTTCTATATGTACACAGGTGACAAAAGGATGACTAGGGAAAATGTGGGCCCTTTGCTCGATGAGACAGGGGACCTGAGTACACAGGACATGGAAAAGGCTGAGATACTGAATGCCTTCTTTGCCTCAGTCTTTACTAGCAAGACCGGCCTTCAGGAATCCCAGGTCCCAGAGACAAGGAAGAAAGGCTGGAGCAAGGAAGATGTACCTTCGGTGGAAGAGGATCAGGTCAGGAACCACTTAAGCAAACTGGACATATGTAAGTCCATGGGCCCTTATGAGATGCACCCACAAGTGCTGAGGGAGCTGGCAGATGTCTTGAGGACCCTCTCAATAATCTTTGGTTGATCATGGCGACTGGGAGAAGTGTCCGAAGACTGGAAGAAAGTAAATCTCACTCCTCTCTTCAAGAAGGGCAAGAAGGAGAACCCGGGGAACTACACCTTGATCTCTGGGAAGGTGATGGAGCAGCTATTCTTGGAAACTATTTCCAGGCACATTAAGGACGAGAAAATCATCATGAGTAGTCAGCATGTCTGACTTCACCAAAGGGAAGTCATGCTTGATCAACTTAATAAACTTCTACAATGAAATGACTGGCCTGGTAGATGAGGGGAGAACAGTGGATATTGTCTACCTGGACTTCACTAAGGCTTTTGACACTGTGTCCCGTAAGATCTTCCTAGAGAAGCTATTGGTGTATGGGCTGCATAAGCAGACAATGAAGTGGATTGAAACCTGGCTGAAGGGCGAGGCCCAGGGAGTGGTGAATAGTGGTCTGAAGTCTAATTGGAGGCCAGTAACCCTGGAGTCTGCTACCTTGGAGATATTCAAAAGCCATCCCGATACGGTCCTGGGCAACTGGCTCTAGGTTTAGCAGGGGGGTTGGACCTCCAGAGGTCCCTTCACACCTCAATCATTCTGTGATTCTGTCATTCACCATTCATCATGTCAGCAAAATTTAAAAAAAAAAAAAAAGAGGGAAAAAAGTAAACAAAGCATATACATATACATGTACATGCACAAGACAGTCTAAGATTTGGATCCTAAATTCCAACTTGGGCAACTAACATGAAAATTGATTATAAAAAATTTTGAGTATTCTGTTGCCCTTAGTGACTCGTGGG